CCCACCACTGCCAGCCGGCTCCCCAAAAGCCTCATTTATAATATCCTAAAATGGATGGAAAATGATCAGGCAGGTCTGGTCCACATCCAAATGAAGAAATAAAAGCAGACGGGGAGAAAGGGAGTGTCTGTCAGCAATATGTTAAAGGGGGTGGGGGGGGGAGACCCTCCATGGCATTTATACAGTGAACCCGTTCGTCCCGTATCGGAAAAACCTAATACAGAAAGACAATATAAAAATGAAGTAATGCCTTGAGATACAAATAACGTACCCAGCTTATTCCTCATGTTGCGGATGCTGTCCAGTTCTTTGGTCAGCTGGTGGGTGAAGCCTGCTCGGGTGTATGCACACATAGATGACCCTGAGCAAGACAAAAAAAAAAAAAGTTTTAGCAGGCCATTCCCCAGTGCTACCTTCTACTTGGGTACGGCTCATCAGTGCTGCCATTTGGAGTCCCGCCGAACACCAAAGCCTTGCCTGAAAGGAAAGTAGTCATTTTCATCAGGGAGAAGGTTAGCATGGGTTGTTGGTGGAAGTTGGGGAGATTATTTGCCGCAAGGGTAGGAACAATCACACTTCCGGTCCAGGGTTTCAAATCATCAAAACAATTTTAATATCACGCCGAAATAAACTAAGGCACAGGTGTCAAACTCAAGGCCCTGGGGCCAGATCTGGCCCGCCATATTATTTTACGTGGCCCGCAAAAGCAAATCAAACATGCTAACTTCGATGATGCTTGGTAAAATCTGTACCAACATTTCAAATTCTCATCTGTAATAAATAAGAGAAAGATTGTAAGCATTTTCTTGTTAGCAAACTCATCATCATCAGTCATTTCAACCATAGTTGAATAAACCATTATTTGTGAGTTCTTTATATCAGCGGTCCCCAACCTTTTTTGCCCCACGGACCGGTTGAATGTCAGACAATATTTAAAGGCACTGGCCTTTAAGGCTGGATAAATACAACAAAATAATACGATATGATTTTTTCCCCTGACCAAAGAAACTTTCCAAAGCCGTTTATTTTTTTACTCATTTTGCTAGCTCCTGGGTTTCATTTTCGCGGTAACCTATCTCATGACCGAGAAGCGCGTCAAGAGTGACGTACTGTAGACGGATGTAACAGAGAATCTGGTAATTTTTCAAAATAAAACATCTTTCAGATTCTGAAATGAATAAAACTGAAGTAATGTACATTAATAATTCTTTCTGTGCGGCCCCGGAAGCAAATGACCCGCGGCCCGGTACCGGTCCACGGCCTGGAGGTTGGGGACCACTGCTTTATATGGTTTCACGGTCATAAATGGCCCTCCAAGGGAAACGGTAACGACAGTGTGGCCCTCGACAAAAAAAAGTTTGACACCTCTGACCTAAGGAAATACAAAATGCAGTTTTCAAATGACAATTCAATTTATTTAGGCACAAAAAAATAGAATTGTCATTTGAAAACTACATTTTGGATTTCCTTGGGTTGTCTCTGAGTGACATTAAAATTAGTTTGATGATTTGAAACCTTGTGATCGAAACAGCTTTTTGAGTCAGAGTTTGTGGTGCATCTACAGTTTCAACTATTGATTTACACAATAATCTAAGAAATGGCCCGACACCCTACAAATAGCAGGGATTGACCTTCATTTTCATGCTAATCATATTGTTCCGCAATTATATGTCAGTAGGAGATCACCAGAGAGAGTCTGCAAACGTGCAGTCACGTTTGCAAGCAATGCGCTGACTGAAACGATGCTTAGGTGAGACAGCTAAACGTCAAAGTCATTCTCATGGGCCCCGTTCAAGAAAAACGGATTTTCTCTGGAGATGAACCAAATAGTCACAAATCTTCTCATCCCCACGAGGAACTAATGTATTATTTGTGTGCGCGACACCTCCAAACGTGGCTCCGCATGTCACCGGCGGCAGATAAATGGTTCATCTGATAGATATTATGTCCTTAATAGCGAATAAATCACAGAAACAAAGGACGCTATCATCACTCGAGTGGAGCAGTAATGGAGCCTTGGCAGGATCTCAACTGCAGTATCCGAAGTGACGTCACCCCCCCCGACTGAAGTTAAATATATCCTGCCTTCGCCTTCTGCTGGCAGCATCGAGTGAGAGACTGAGTTACAGCGAGGCGGAGATGCTGAGTGAGGCTTATGCAGCCAGCACCGGCCGGAGTAATGCGAAAGTACCCTTGCTTAATCTTGTGCCGCGTTTGGGAGAATGACGTCACCCGGAGAGAAAAAAAAAAAACCCCAAAAAACTTAAAAATGCAAATGAGCACGCCGAGACAATCTGAGGCAAGGTCACCGTGCCGCAGAGCATCTGGACCGAGTACTGTTGTCTGAACGTCGCACTCTTCCAAGGACACCGTGGCACCACTCGCAGCACATTCCATTAACGCAAATTTGTTTTCAGAGAAACCGGCATCAGATGTGTGGTTTTCGAAACAAACCTGTTGAAATGGAATATACAATGTGTGGTTTAAGTCAGTGGTCCCGAAGGGTCACTTGGTACCGGGCTGCAGAGAAAGAATAAATAACTTACTTCCGTTTTATTCATTTCGGAATGTGAAAGATGTTTTATTTTGTAAAATTACCGGATTCTCTGTTACATCCGTCCGTCTACAGTATTGCTACTCTTGACGCAGGTCAAAGCGCGCCTCTCGGTCATGTGATAGGTTACCGCTAAAATGAAACCTACCCGGGTGCGAGCAAAATGAGTTAAAAAAAAAAATCATGTAAATACATGAAATTGGATCTCGATCATCTTGGGATCAAGCATGAAAAATAAAAATCCCCTATGGGTCAGACACGTGTCGATGAGCTCAGGAAAGTTAGGACATTATTAGAATACAGTAGTCAGACACCACTACCCCCCCCCCCCCAAGAAGAAAAAGTGCATTTTAGCAAAAATATTTTGTTGGAGTAGAAATTTGGAATCTTCCTATATTAAGTCATATTTAGATTATGATATTGAAAGTGCCTGTTACATCACGTGTGTGCTCATTTTCACAGTTCTTTCCTCTTGTGGCATGTCGTCGCTCCACATACCAAAAGTCAAAATTTGAAATTATTTGGCAGAGCCCCGCCCCGCTCTGTCCTTTTTTTTTTTTTTTTTTTTAATTCTAATCATCGCTCCACATGCCAAAAGTCAAAATTTGAAATTATTTTGCAGAGCCCCGCCCCCCTCTGTCCTTTTTTTTTTTTTTTAAATTCTAATCACAACCCACGTCAAAATGTTACAGGACAAAGTTAAAATATTAAGAGCACACTCTTGATTTAAAACACCCGCTTATCCAAAATGTCAAATGTTTCATGAAAATGTGCGGCATGATTATTTTATTTCGAATTGAAAATGTCAATTTTAGCAGGATTTTTTTCTTTTTTTTTTTGAATGTTAAAAAAAATATACATATGTTAATATGTTTAACTCCTGAGCATATGTTGACCTTCAGCCTACGGAATTGGTTTTGGTACCTGAACACAAGGTGAAGCGTGACCCCTCCTTCTTCTTTCTATAGGTGGGTCTCAGTGGGGGGGGGGGGCCCACTCTTAAAAGTGGACCGAGGCAATTATATAATGCACCGAGCGTCGTAACGGCAGCTAAGTTGCGTTCTTTGGAAATCCCCCCCCCCACTCCACACACACAGGTTGTGTTCCCACGGCTGAGACGTGTACACCGATAAACAAATCCTTCCCCTGATGCAACTCAACGGTGCCTATCTGTCAACACAAACTGGCGGCAACAAGACCTTTCGGTGTGTGTCGCGTGAACTTTCTCTGAACTGCGTTTCCAAGCCACTGTGTGGGCATGTACACAATATGTACGTACACGAACGCATTCACGTCCCGATTGAAGAACAGAGCAAAGAAAAAAAAATTGACCACTGTTTGCTTTTCTGCCCCTTTGCTGAGGTTTTTGAATAGATCAAACGGCTCCCGGGGGGCGATAAGCCAGAGATTGCAATTATTCTGTCGTTTAGTTCAAAGCGTGGCAGTGCGGAATGAGCCGTAAGGAAGCACAACGCTCGGGTGCCGCTCTATGGAGGTGGCCGGCGTAGTATTTTTAAAAACACCTGCTATCGCGGGGCTTGATCTCCCATACCTCCCCTGGTGTGAAAACACTCCTCATTCGCTCGCATCTATACACGTGGTTACGCGCTTGACTTAATATTAAAGTAGGTGTTGGAAGGTGGCCAAAACTTCCTGCCTCTTGAGAATTTGCAGTCTTCCGCAAGGAATTTGCGATGCAGGAAATGCAGGTGACGAGGGCGGAAGAAAGAGAACACCTCCCCGAACTTCCTCCCCGACTTTCGCTTGGCAGGCAAAGTCAAAGAGGTCACAGCAGGAACGCCGCCTGTTGTGTCCTTTTTAGATCGCAGTGACGGCAGAAGTGAGGCAAAAATTCTCGTCCGGGATTTATTTCCACCCCAATTAGCTGGACGGTACCATCGCAGGCCTGGCAGTAAATGAGTGGGATTGTTTCATCAGGATTGAGAGTGTGTCCTCTGTTTACGATGGCGGTCCATTGCTACGTCAGCGATATCAGTCTTGACGACAGTGAATATTTGCATGAAAGAGCACATTCGGAAGCTGAAAGGCAAAATTCATAACAGGTGTCTAATTCATGTATTCGGGGTTGAACCGACCATTCAAGTCAACTTACCCAGTCCGAGTACTGACCCTGGACCCTGGCTCTTTATCTGAAGTCAACAGTCTCAAACTGGACAGTGATTTTAAATTGGACCAGCAAATTGATTCCATTGTTAAATCCAGCTTCTTTCATCTTCGGCAGCTGGCTAAAGTCAAACCTCTCCTTTCTCGTGAGCACTTTGAAACAATCATTCATGCCTTCGTCACATCCCGGCTGGATTAGTGTCGTGCACTTTACTTTGGGAGTCAGCCAATCCTCCATGAAGCGTCTCCAGTTGGTCCAAAACGCTGCTGCGAGCTCGCCTCTTGACTGATACTCGTAAGAGGGAGCACATCGCTCCCACTCTGGCATCCCTTCACTGGCTCCCTATACATTTTCGAGTACTTTTTAAGATCCTATTATTTGTTTTCAAATGTTTACATGGCCACCCTCCACCTTACCTCTCTGAGCTCCTCCGCCCCTACGCACCTGCCCAGTGACTCAGGTCTGCGGACTAGACATTATTAGAGGTACCAAGAACTAAGCGGAGGCTTTTCCGTTGCTGCTCCCTCTCTTTGGAATGACGTCCCACTAAACATTTGGTAAGCCCCTCCCTCGCTACCCATCTTTAAAACTCGTCTCAACACTCATTTGTATTCTTTGGCTTTTGACTCAGCATGACTCAAGACTTGATCTTTGTTGGACTGTTTTTGTGCTTTCTACTGTCTTCATTATTAATTTAGTGTTTGTTTTTGTTGTATATATGATATTTGCTCCACGTACAGCACTTTGGATACAGCTGTGGTTGTTCTTGCTCTATAAAAACAGTTGAGTTGAGTGTTCAAGAGGGCCTACACACCAAATACCACAATCGTCGCGCCGCAGAGGATGACTTGCTCTCAAACCAAGCTGGACAGCCGCACGTCGATGTCAAACGCGTGTGCGAGTGTGTGTATCACCGCGCCTTCCCTGCTAATTGATTCCAGCACGACATGCTCCATCACACCCAATAGGGCCATCTGACCCCCTTTCCCCTCCCGTATAGCGTACCGTTTAATCTCCTCTGAAGGGCTTCCTCTTGCAAATGGATGCAGTAAATCTGCTCATCCAGGTCCTCCAGGATCTGAAGAGTGAGAGAGAGGAGATGGAAATGCGTTCTAATTAAGTACAAAGTGGGACTGGAGAGATGGCAGATGGGGAGGATGAGTTGGTGACGTATTTGTAGTCCTGCGGCTTGGACGGATTTTTTTTTTCCACACTCTCGTAGAGTCCTCCGTTTTTCAAAGTTCTCATTTCATTTAAAAACTGGATGGAGCGAGACATTTTGGTGCAGTTCAACCTCAAGTTTCGACACATGCCGATATCCAATTTTATCAATTCTCACTATTGGCCGAACTGAACATTCGGGGAGTGCAGAAGAGTCTATTTTTGTATTGTAGTAATGAGACGAAAAAGACGTCGTATGATTTCGTTATTGACGGGGTGAGGTATCTTGCTACTTTTCTCATAACCCGAAATTCGAGCGACCTACCGTCGGCTTCACGAGTAACTGGCCCATGACCGTGAACATCCTTGACAATCCCACAGGGGTGCACACTACGAGAGAGAATAGAAAAAGTGCCAACATGTAAATGCCTTGCGGTCTCGATCAAATCTATGGTGAAAAGGCTTACTGAGTAAGAGCAGTCCTCCCATCAGAGATATACACGAGTACAGGTAGGGTAAGTAGAATTCTCCCAGAGGTATGGAAAGAAAGTCATATTAATCCATTTGAAGGGGAAAAAAAATTGAATTAAATTAAACCCCTGAAAAAAATGGTCCATGTAAATTATTTCCGAAAAACAACACAGAAAATTACGTGAAATTAAATGAAAATCAATATTGTGAAATAAAATACAATAAATTAATTCTAAAATGGAAGATTAAAAAAAGAAAATCCCTTTATTGGTAAAATAATACTTTCAAATAAAATAATAAGTAAAATGTAATACTGCAATTAAAAAAAAGGACTGACCAAGAATGCCCGAAAATAAGAAAAATAAAACAAATACATGAAAATAAATAGACAGGGAAATCCTTTGGTGGTCAAAGGAGGGCATGAAAGATAACTTGAATAATATAAAAAATAAAATATTAAATGTAGTAAGCACCAAATTACAAAAAGGATCAAGTTTGTCCACTTTTGGGGGCGGCAAACATATTTTTGCAACTTTCAAATTATTTACAACCTCATTGTATGTTTGCATTTATTAGAGCAAAAAAAAAAATGGAACAATTCCAATGACTGGCAGCTCGAAATGTTCTTGTGTTGGACTACTTGACTTATTCTTGTTTGTAATGTCTTAATAAATCAAATTTGCAGTTCGGTGGCTGCGACTGTACTCGTACCGTAGAGTGACTCCATACTGGCTGCGTCGTTGTCAATAAGCGCCGACGCCACCCACACAATGCCCAGGATGAGCAGAGCCAGCAAGAAGAGCATCACAAAGGTCTCCAAAATGCGTGCCTTAATACCCTAGTGCACAAAAATAACAAACGTCAACGTCTTGCCGCGGGCGTCATAAACCCTCAAATCCTATCAGGATGATTTTTTTTTTTTTAAATGGGCTTTATTTTAATGGACATCCCGTTTCCTCCCATCAGGCCACACTAGCGGCACACAAACATGACATAAATGCTCCCGCCGATACCTCTGTAAAACGGCTCTTTTATACACATGGAGTGCGCTCTGTAAAGCGCCTCTAACGGGCTCACTGGCAGAGGTGAAATTAAAAAAAAAAAAAAAAAAAAAAAAAACCTGAGAGATATCATCCAGTTGTCTTGAAACTGTGAGTGGTTCATTTTAACATGTTCAGACGATTGGAATGAGCAAAGCTTTTTATTTTATCAAACACTGTTGCCAGGGCGTTGAGTTGAGTGTTCAAGAGGGCCTACACACCAAATACCACAATCGTCGCGCCGCAGAGGATGACTTGCTCTCAAACCAAGCTGGACAGCCGCACGTCGATGTCAAACGCGTGTGCGAGTGTGTGTATCACCGCGCCTTCCCTGCTAATTGATTCCAGCACGACATGCTCCATCACACCCAATAGGGCCATCTGACCCCCTTTCCCCTCCCGTATAGCGTACCGTTTAATCTCCTCTGAAGGGCTTCCTCTTGCAAATGGATGCAGTAAATCTGCTCATCCAGGTCCTCCAGGATCTGAAGAGTGAGAGAGAGGAGATGGAAGAATATTTCTAAAGCATAAAAATGCATGAAAATATGTAACGAATACATGTTCTAATTAGATTAGGTTTTTGCCTGGCGTTTTGTCAAGAACTGACCCAAGGACGTTTGCTTTTGTCGGCTTCGTATTTGTAGTCCTGCGGCTTGGACGGATTTTTTTTTTCCACACTCTCGTAGAGTCCTCCGTTTTTCAAAGTTCTCATTTCATTTAAAAACTGGATGGAGCGAGACATTTTGGTGCAGTTCAACCTCAAGTTTCGACACATGCCGATATCCAATTTTATCAATTCTCACTATTGGCCGAACTGAACATTCGGGGAGTGCAGAAGAGTCTATTTTTGTATTGTAGTAATGAGACGAAAAAGACGTCGTATGATTTCGTTATTGACGGGGTGAGGTATCTTGCTACTTTTCTCATAACCCGAAATTCGAGCGACCTACCGTCGGCTTCACGAGTAACTGGCCCATGACCGTGAACATCCTTGACAATCCCACAGGGGTGCACACTACGAGAGAGAATAGAAAAAGTGCCAACATGTAAATGCCTTGCGGTCTCGATCAAATCTATGGTGAAAAGGCTTACTGAGTAAGAGCAGTCCTCCCATCAGAGATATACACGAGTACAGGTAGGGTAAGTAGAATTCCCAGAGGTCTATGGAAAGAAAGTCATATTAATCCATTTGAAGGGGAAAAAAAATTGAATTAAATTAAACCTGGGAAAAAAATGGTCCATGTAAATTATTTCCGAAAAACAACACAGAAAATTACGTGAAATTAAATGAAAATCAATATTGTGAAATAAAATACAATAAATTAATTCTAAAATGGAAGATTAAAAAAAGAAAATCCCTTTATTGGTAAAATAATACTTTCAAATAAAATAATAAGTAAAATGTAATACTGCAATTAAAAAAAAGGACTGACCAAGAATGCCCGAAAATAAGAAAAATAAAACAAATACATGAAAATAAATAGACAGGGAAATCCTTTGGTGGTCAAAGGAGGGCATGAAAGATAACTTGAATAATATAAAAAATAAAATATTAAATGTAGTAAGCACCAAATTACAAAAAGGATCAAGTTTGTCCACTTTTGGGGGCGGCAAACATATTTTTGCAACTTTCAAATTATTTACAACCTCATTGTATGTTTGCATTTATTAGAGCAAAAAAAAAAATGGAACAATTCCAATGACTGGCAGCTCGAAATGTTCTTGTGTTGGACTACTTGACTTATTCTTGTTTGTAATGTCTTAATAAATCAAATTTGCAGTTCGGTGGCTGCGACTGTACTCGTACCGTAGAGTGACTCCATACTGGCTGCGTCGTTGTCAATAAGCGCCGACGCCACCCACACAATGCCCAGGATGAGCAGAGCCAGCAAGAAGAGCATCACAAAGGTCTCCAAAATGCGTGCCTTAATACCCTAGTGCACAAAAATAACAAACGTCAACGTCTTGCCGCGGGCGTCATAAACCCTCAAATCCTATCAGGATGATTTTTTTTTTTTTAAATGGGCTTTATTTTAATGGACATCCCGTTTCCTCCCATCAGGCCACACTAGCGGCACACAAACATGACATAAATGCCCC